TGGTCATGAGCCCCAGCTGGGGCTCGACACCAAGACAGACAGACATGACCTTGACCTTGACTTTGAGCGAATAATACTAGAAATAGGGCATAATCTGCTGTACTAAGCCTAGACTGACAGAGGCTCGTATATATTGTACACAAAAGTAAGAAATAAGTGTGTATTATAAATCTATGTAAATACAGACAGTGGACATATTAAAACTGACTGACTGACAAATGACAGACCCGACCTCTCGTCAGAGAGGGCGCCCCACATGGACAGGACAGTAACTTTCATTCAAAAGAAATATCTGGTCATGCCAACACAGACAGACTGACTGACCGTCAGTTGTGACATGACCTTGACCTTGATCTTGAACTTAAATGCGGACGTTTGGAGCAATTTGATTGATTAGCGCGCGTGATGGTGAAAAGTGATGTGAAGAGTGTGCGTTGCAGAAAATGCGTGATAATGTGGGATGTTCCCACACCGTGTTCACTTCTAGACCAATTACTACCAAGAAAAACTGAATATTTATTTTGAAAGTTATTTTCTTGCAGTGATACACTTTCAATAACATAGTGTACCTCACTGATTGTAGAATAAGAGGAAGTAAAAGAAATGTAGAAATAATTAATTCTGGTGTGTTTTAATGATTACAAATGATTATTATATGAGTACTGATGTTTTTAGATATATTATACTTGGGAAATATTTGCTCTTAGACATGCAGCTGGGGTTATCTGTGGGCCACACTATCACCGTGGGACAAGAATACAGAGACCTGGTCCTCAGGGTTCACTGTCGGGTGCAAAGCCGATGACGTTGCACTGTAATAATAATTGTTGCGAAATTGATGATGTGAATCTGGGTGCACTAAGACAGGAGACAAATGTGGCAAAATCTTGTAAGGAAGTGTGAAATAGATACCACAATGAGAAAAAGAAAACAGAAACTTTAATTGATGCTAGTAAGGAGGTTTGTGTGAAAGTAATCACAGAGGAAAGTACGAGTATGTATATGTTTATGTTTCATCAGCAGAATGTAGGGCAAAATCATGACATAAAGATAGCCAACGGATGCTTTAAAAAAAGTGGCACAATCCAGATATCCAGATATTTGTGGAGGACATCAAAGGTATCGACAACAGTTTTAACCACTAGTGGCGCAGTAGGTGGAGTGAGGGTATCGATGTTGGAAACCGCGGTCTCAAGGGTCTCGAGCGTCTCGAGTTCCAGTTGATTGCAATTGATTAAGATGATGCTCAGATACGCTCGGATAAATACAATATGTGTATTGTGATTGGTACAAGGGAGAAAGCAGTTTTGCATAGGAAAATAGATGACAGTGGTAGTTTGCGCGGAAGGCAAATGCACATATAACCACATGTAACCATTTATACTTTACTAGTGACCCAACCCAGGTTCGGGTGTTTCCGGTCGCTAGTTTTGTGAGTCCGTTGTAGTCATTTTAGACCAGGGGGGCGAAACTCCCATAGTGGAGAGGGAAACATGCAGAACAGCCATCTATGTTCATCAAAATGAACTAGGTAGTCTGGAAATGACTGGAATCGAACATTATACACCTATCGCATTCAATCGAATCGCACAAGTGTGAGCCAATCAGAGGATCTTAAATTTCTGTTGAAGATTTTGGGTTTGCTCAGTAACTGCGTAGTTTATCCGTATATGTGTAAGTTATTGTGGTATGTTGTGCAATTAATTAGATCAATTAGTAAGTAGGGACTTTGATTTGATGATGTGAAACGAGAGTCGACATTTACGCATGAATTTACGTCTGTGTGTTATTTATGTTTCTATCCATGCAGACAGTCCTTCCACTTCCTTTCAAATGTCTGCAATCCATTCATCACCAACAGCAGGCTACACTTCTTCAGTGAAAGAAACCTCATATATCTTAGGCTCTGAAAATATATATGCTTCTGATGGGGCACTCAGGCATATCAGTTGTCAAAGTTCCTCCTCAAAGCCTAGAGCAAGGCGCTCTCTGCTGAAAGAACTTAATTTGGCTTCGCTTTCTGAATTGACGCCGAGGAAAATTAAATTATATAAACAAATTCAGAAGAAGGAGAGTACACTCTGCAAACTGAAAAAGAACTACAAAGGAAAGAAGCTGGAAGATCTCTGTGATGAGGACAGTGATCCACTTATGGAGAGACTTTCATCTTCTCTCAGTGTAGAGGCTGCCAGATAATTGACAGCAATTATTAGGAACACCAGGCAGAGACCTCAGAGAAGGAGGTGGGATTTCGAAGAGAAAGTGATGGCTCTGTCTCTCCTTAAGCATAGTCCCAAATCCTATATCCTTCTCCGAACACTACTCCCCCTCCCATCCAGACGATCCTTGCAGTCTCTCCTCAATACTGTTCCATTTAGGACAGGCATCAATGCTCATGTGTTTCGTGCACTTGGACAGTGTCTGCAGAAAATGTCTGGTAGAGATCGATATTGTTGTCTCCTGTTTGATGAAATGTCAATCAGAGAGAACTTGCATTTCAGTCAGAAGTTTGACTGCATTGAGGGTTTTGAGGATTGTGGAAGTCAGGGCAGGACTTGCAGCATTGCAAATCATGCTCTGCTCTTCATGATCCGTGGCCTGCGGAGAAAGTGGAAGCAGCCAGTGGCTTATGACTTTACTCGTGGAAGCACAAAGGTAGAGATGATTGTGCAATACTTGAAGGAGGTTCTTGACGCCTGTCAGAATGCTGGCCCGAAGGTGGTTGCCACTGTGTGACATGGGTTCCAACAATGTCAAGGCCTTGAAACTGTTGGGTGCTTCAAAAAGGAAACCACTCTTCAGATTTCGCAATCAAGAAATTGCAACAGTGTATGATCCACCCCACCTTCTGAAGTGCACCCGGAACCTTTTCCTGAAATATGATGTGCAGTTGAAATCTGAGCATGTGGGCACCCAACTTCCTGTTATTGCTAAGTGGGACCACATATTGAAACTGTATGAAATCGACAAACCCGGACCATTTCGCCTATTGTACAGGCTGACAGACACACATGGGTCTTGTTTATGTGTAGGTAAGAATGAAGAGGCATTACTTTATAACTGACTTGCAAAGTTCAGGTTATGCACCTCAGCGTGAAACTCTGAGAAGCAGAATCAATATCAGGATTGAATGTGGGTAGGGCTATTTATGTAATTTCTTTACATGTGTCATTAAATGTATCCAATACTGAAGTGGAAAGGTTTATATCTTTCCATTACTGACCTGGTATATGAATAGATACCAGATTTTCAGTATTCATTACATTTTTTGTAAGATATGTTACTTTTGCCATATAAACCTTTCCACTACTGAACTGGAATATGAATGGATACCAGATTGTCAGTATGCATTACATTTCTTTGTAAGATATATGTTACTTTTGCCATATAAACCTTTCCACTACTGAACTGGAATATGAATGGATACCAGATTGTCAGTGTTCATTACATTTATTTAAGATGTGTTATTATTTCTGCCATATTATTCTGCCCAGTACTGAACTAGTGAAGATGAATATATCACATTTTCTTATATCTTTAAATGCATTCTTAATCTTGTTGCCAAGAGTGTATTTCACATTCTCGAATTCCATCATTCTAATGAAAATAATAATAAATGAGAACGTGAGTACTGTTGCTTACAGTACTCACGTTTTATAATACTTAAATGTAACTGAAAAACTATGTTCTGTATGGCTCTCAAGTGTATGTTATGAGAAAATTGTGAGGTTTAATATATATATCTCTGATGGAAACAGAATCTTCTTTCAAGTTTCCCCACCTACAGTTTTGTTAAATACAACTATTCCATGTTTGTCACAGTTCACAATGTTCAGTGCCTTTGGTTAGAGAGGTGTTTCAGGTGAAAGGTTATGATTTTCCAGGCACTTGTGAGAAACTTTCTCTAGATAAATAATTCCCAACCCAATCTCTTGTACTCCAGAGGTGCAGAGGCTCTTATTCTGTTTTCTTTTTTTTTTTCCTTTTGGAAAGGGGGTGGGGGGCAAAATGTAATAGAAATTCACTCAAATCCAAACCAAAGGATATGGGTGAAGTGATATTGAACTTCCTTATGGAGCTGAGCCCTTCTTGAGAACCTGTGAATTGTGCAGCCACTCAAGAATTTTCCTGCCTTTTGTAGAACCCAAAGGTTCATTACTGTGTTCACAAGAGTCCTCCACTGGTCCCTATCCTGAGCCAGATCAGTCAAATCCATACCATACCATCCTATTTCACTAGGATACATTTTAATATTGTCCACCCACCTATGCCGTGGTCTTCCCAGTAGTCTCTCTCCTTATGATTTTCCCACCAATATCCTATATGCATTCCTCGCCTCCCCCATTCTTGCTACATGCCCTGCCAACCTCATCCTCCTGGACTAGTGATATTCTGTGTTCAGTATCACTAGTCGAGGAGGAGAGGTTGGCAGGGCATGTAGCACGAATGGGGGAGGCGAGGAATGCATATCGGATATTGGTGGGAAAGCCAGAAGGAAAGAGATTTTGCAGTACAAGAGATCTGGTTGTAAAAGAATTTACTGCTAGTAGCGAAACAAGCATTGGCAGGGGCAAGGGGGGCACTCAAAATAGTTGGTAAAGTAGCATACCATCTTACCGATTGTGCTCTCGGCCCAGGAGGCCATTTGAAACTTAGTTCCTGTATGATGAACATAGATGGCAGCAGCATTGCACCGAGGTGTCATGGCGGCCATGTTGTAAACCAATAACATTGGATTATCACGGGGCTGTTTTAGACATTTCAGACATGCAATTTTTAGTTGGCCGATAGTCGGGCACCTCGCCGAGAAGCATTGCGTTTAATGGGAGTGCGCACACATAACGATAGTTGTTCCAACAGTCGGCGAGCAGTTGGGCTCTACCTCTGCCCGCCGATCCAACTGTTCGTGATAACTAGGGACCGGATTTTAATGGAAATGCATATTTCCTTCTTGCTACCAGAAAGTATGCTCGTTTAGATATATGTATGAATTACTTCATTTCTTAAATTTTGGACATGGTTTGATGGTGCATATAAATGCATATTTTGCCTGTTTTATGAATAAGCATCATATTTTCGAAGATCTCTGTTTACTCTGCGTCTTTCCTTTTTGAAAAGTTTATCATACATTTTTTAATTTTATGTTCAAATTTTCAATCATGGTCGTGTGTATACAATTTTTATGTTCCGTATTAGAATATGTTGTATATTTGACTTAACATTTCGTCATGATTCATGTTTCTGATGCAATACCCAGGACGGGACTACCCCGATCCCTCTACTCGTAACTTGCCTCATCCGCGTACCATCATATTGGCCGCGAAGAGAATAGTCGGAAGCGTTCACATGTAGCCGCTATCAATGTAATACTATTCAACCGATAAGGGACTTTACTTATTTATTTCTGAAGTCTCCATGAGGTTCGGTACGCTTCTTCATTTGAAGCTGGGGCCATTCACATTAGTGGTGACTAGTCTGTAGTTAAGTTTGTTTAGCTTTCTGTAGTCATGCCGAAAGTGAAAGTAAGTCAGAAAACTAAATTACAGCTGTATCAGTGGGAGTTCGAAGGAGAGATGATAAGCACGGATAACGAAATTCTTTATTGCCGAGCGTGTGAGAAAACAGTTGGTTGTGAAAAACATTTTCAAGTGCTTCAGCATTTGAACACTAATATACACAAAGAGAATATTAAAATTAAATCCACGAAAAGTGCTCCTGTTCAAAAATCATATAAATCCGGTCCCTAGTGATAACGCCGGTGTACATGAGCTGTTATGGGAGTGCGCACACATACAACTGGAAATCGGGCACGATTTGACCTTCAGTCAACAAACTGTATCTTTTCCTGCCTGTCTTCGCGCTCGCTCTAGTTCCTCTAGTTGCAACATGTGGGATCAAAGCATCGAAAAGCTTATAGAAGAAGTGGAGAAAAGGCCAGCTCTTTATTTAAAATCGCATAAAGAATATTCTGATATTAATTATAAGAAGTTGTGGGAAGAGGTGTGTACCGCTTTGATTGAAAACTGGAATGGTTTTACTCCTGAAGAGAAAAAAACTGAAGGTAAATTATCTATACTTTAGGTAGTTATAATCTTCATAAATTACATACAGTGCCGTATATAATACTTTAAGACAATAAAGTTGTGTTAAATGTTTTACTATTTATATATAGTACAATTACTTCTCTTTATTTGAAAAGTTTTCTGTAATATATTACACACAGAATTTTTAGCATGATCAATTTTTATTTCCTTGACAATTGTTACTGAAGTGTAATAAGTGTAATGACTTACATAAGAAGTGATCATACAGTTCTGAAAATTGCTTAAGAAGTAACAAGTTTTGAAATGAACTTACACTTTGCTCCTTGAGGGGAAGTAAAATAAGAAGTGAAATACTCCCTAATATTAATTCCAGATAAATTTCCGCCAACTCCGTAAGGAGGAATACTTTCAAGTGGGCACTCATACACTATATCCATAAAGTGAATACCGTCTTTCTCTCGGATGTAATTATGCAGCACGCAACAGGCTTTTACTACAGAATCACAAAATTCTACTCCAACATCAATGGGGCGATAAAAAATGCGCCATTTACTTACTAAAATGTCGAAAGCACATTCCACCATTCGACGAGCTCTTGTATGCTTATAGTTGAAAACTTTTTTTCTGAATACTCAGATTTATTCTGGGGAACGGTCGTAACACATGTTTGGATAGCCCAAAGGCCTGATCACCGACAACCACAAATGGCATTGGTGTTCCATTAACGTCATTTGGTAGAGGGCTGGCAATCGGAATATTTAATTCTCCATTTTCCAATTTCTTACCCATTCTTACCCATATTAGAGTTTCTGAAAATGGTTGCGTCACTTGATGAAACATCGGAACCAATATCTACAAATATGAATTTCTAATCTGCGTTTACCCAAGCCATTAACACCACTGAAAAAATTTCTTATAATTAAAACATGTGGAGCTGCTGTCACGAGGCCGTTTGATCCTAATATGTTTCCCGCCAATTGCTCCAATAACGTTAGGGAAATTAGTACATTTAAGAAACTGATGTGCCACTTCAATCCATTCCTCTTCTGTCTTGGATTCCATATAGATTGGCTGCAGAACTTGCCACAGATTACCACTAGTTGATCTCACAATGCTTCTGACTGTGGATGGCCCAAGTAAGAACTCAAATGAAAGCACACGGAAACTAACGCCAGTTGCAAAATACCTGAAAAACACATCGATTAGAGATAAACTTTTCCTAATATTGCTTTTCTATTATGGAGAGTTTTCCCTGTTTTTATGTTTTATAGCAATATTTAGTATCTCCGTTTTACTATTCCAGGAGCTATTATCCAGAAACGTTGGAGTAACTTGCGTACATGTTTTAGTAGAGAGCTAAAATCCCAAAAACAAACAAAATCTGGTCAAGGAGCAGTCACACGTCGCAAGTATATTTACTTTGACAGACTACTTTTCCTCATTCCTGACATTGAGCAAAGGAGAACGGAGTCTAATGTCGGCCCTCGAGAAGATGAAACAGAAAATATTTCAGACTGTGATATTGCTGACGAGGGAACACCACGCCATCCCATGTTATCATCATTACCGGCAAAGAAAAGGAGGCTGAAAAAGAATGAAACATATGAGGAACAGCTTCTACAAATATTGAAAGAGAAGACAACTGCAACGTTTGTAGATGAAGATACAAGTTTCGCACTGTCCTTGGTGCCAACATTAAGGTTTTTACCCGAGGCAAATAAATTACAGGCCAGGACTGAAATTTTAATACCTTACAAAAGTTTAAATTTCAGTCTGCTACCAGCATGTTCCATCAAAATCTGCGGGGGAATCCCGTTACTGTGTTTCATTCAGCACCATCTCCATCCATATACCACTCCCGTAACGAGCAGTATCACCCTATTCCTACTCACGTTCATTCAAACCCACGGCCCATCACTTCTCACCAAATGAGCTTTCCTCCTTTCCAGCAGTTTTGTCACTCAAACACTGCATTTCCTCCAAATATGCCACAAGTTAATCAAATAATCAATGATCCTTCATCATCCACAAGCATGCAAAATGAGCCCGCAGTTTCACCTGCTAGTGTTGCTTCCGATCCGTCAATGAGCTCTTTCATCTCTGAATCTACTGTTTCAGATATTTTAGATCTGGACTAATGAATTGTTCTGTTTCTATGTTGCTTAAAGGCTTGTAGAATGAAAACAAACCCAAGTTTAAACGAAAAGTTCTATGAGACTGAATATGTATTACGTACCTTTAGTTTTCTGCCAGTTATTGACTTATTCTCTTCACTTTTAAGTCCAATAATAAATGATATTGCTTCAAGTCAATTAAAAGGAGAAATAAAATAAAAAACGTTTCTTCTATAATCACATTATTATTTACAATTATAGTGCTATAATTAATGTATCCCTATGTCAATTGAAACTAATAAAAATACAATAAAAACAACAATGATGATTATTATAATAATAAAAGTATTCTTATTCCCTTACCTTAGTGTTACAATCAGTCTTTCTTCAGGTGGTACAGCCAATCTCCATCTTGTATTCTTGTACAAGATACGAGGTTTCAGAAGAAGCAACAATTCATCAAAACTATCAACACTCATTCTGCAATAATTGAAAAATTTTGATGGATATTGTCTCAGTTCATGGTACAGTGTGCAAAATTTTCCTTTTAACAGACGTTCGCTATAAATGGGGTGAACCCAATAGTCCCGCTTCCTTTTTTCCTGAATCTTAACAATAATGCACTTACTGCTGCTGTACCATACACATCCATGCTGCGACGGCTGCGACCGCTGCGACTGACTGACTGCTCATTGGCATAGTTGTGGACAACTCGAAATTGCATGTGTGCGCACGTCCCTCAGCAATCGTTGGGCCTGCACGATCGTGCACAACTATCGGCCAACTAAAAATTGCATGTGTGCGCTAGGCCTTAGTTGCAGAGCTTCGCGAAGTTCGCAAAAGATTCGCGGTCACATTATCATTTTATTAGTCACTGTGCAAAAAGACTGTGTATTTTGTAGCAGGCAAAGGTTACTAAAGATGTTTACTGAAGTTGTATTATGAAACCCTGTGACAAAAATCTTTTGTGATCGACGGGTTGGAATTAAGTGCAACTTTCTTCATACGCAATATTTTATGAGTAGGGCCCGGATTTTTATGACCTAAAACTATATAT